TCTTTTTTGTATTATAGATGCTCCTCTCAGTTGCAACTTGCAATGCTCCACTATCTCTCTGCCAGTACCTGGCCCCGTTCCAATGCTTTTAGTGAGTGCTATCTGTCAAGGCATGAATAATACAGCCCCTAGGCTGTCGGCAGAATCCAAATGAGGCATACATCAGGAAGCAAGCACTCGACTTTAGCTCCAGAACATGCTCCTGTGAAGACAGGCAATTATTCACCCACGGCTGCAGCCATGGCAATCAAACTGGTGGGTGAAAAGGTATATGAAATGAAAAAAATTTGAATAAGAAATATGGCACAACAAGCCAGAGAAAATTCAATAATTTTCTAATAAGAGAGAGATTTGAGCCTTTTAATTTTAAACTTTGTGAGTCTGAATTATTTCACTCACTCTGCTCTAAAATACAGACTAAGCCACAGTATATAATGCCATGGAAGAACAAGGGTGTGTGGGGCTTTTCCTAATCAAAAGAGCAATGCTAAATTGCAAGGTATTTATAAATTTAAACAAATTTGTTAATCTTTAAGTGACATTTTTTTTCTTTAAAATTAAAAGATGATCAAAACAACTCTATCTGTACAATGCAATAGACAGCCTAATAAAGCAACAAAGTGGGTGATATGAAGTAATTTGATAGCAAATTAAAATGCAGTGTATTTTATAAGGCTAGTGACAATTCCAAATTTTAGATCCAAACATATAACCTCTCTTCATTTTTGAGACTTTCTTTTGTTAGATCCTGTACCAGGGTTTAATTAAAAAAATCCCTTACAAATGTAATAGGCACTGAACAAAGGGCACACACACAATTCCTTAGGAGACAAAATGTTTAAGTTCATTTACTTCATCCAAATTCTTATTTTCAGTAATCAAATTGCAATTCATGAAATAGTGAGAGCTCTATCAGTATTTCCATTTTAAATCCGAAGGGTTTATCATTTGGCCTTAACAGTTCCTTCTTCACTGAAATTTGATGTGTTTTGTTTGTTGACTGTGATTGTGTTTTGCTTTAATTTTTATACAACTGCTTTCTCTGCTCCCAAATACATATACATATTAAAAGAATCCTCACTAATATATAGAGAGCTGCACTACCAGTGTAAGATTGTGTTTAGTGCTTTTATTTGTTAAAACATCTTTCATTTTGAAGCATGTGGTATTTGGCAAGTGATTAATCCATTACAGAATCTAATTGCTTTTGTCATTGGAGAAAAAATTTAAATGACCACGTTATGAAGCTTTTAAAATAGGACAGTGGATATAACCAGTATTTTTTTATGAAGTCTTGTTAGGATTTTTATGGTGTGTCTAAATACCCATTTACATGACAAATCATAGTCTCTATTGGGTATATAATGTGCTTTTTAGAAAAAAAGGAAAAGACAAAATAAATCAAAATGCATAGCAACATAGGAGGGTGCAATACTTCCAAAGCACATATTCATATCTGCTTGGTAATTAGCACAGGCCACAGTTTGCTCTCAGTTACTTTACAGTAACTATGGGACTTGCAGCAGTGTAACTTAGAACAGAAACTGAAGTGGCTCTTAGATTTATTTTCAGGTATATCAAGTGTGAATCCTCTTGTCCTTAGTTAATGGAACTAGTGATGTTCATGCTAATTGCAATGGACGAACTCTCCACTCCATTATTTTAATTGAGCTCTTAGCTGACGGGTGTTCTGCAAACACTCGGTGTGCTTCAAGAACCACAACACCTAGATGGGCTGTTGGCAGCTGAGAGGATTCAAGGTTCTAGACCAAGTTTATTCATCAAAATTAATTCACAGCTTTGAACACATGAGAGGACTGATCATTATTATGCCGTTAACCATGATGGATTTGAAAATCTATAGAGTGAACAGAATAAACAGTATGAGGAGCATGGTAAAAGGGAGAGGCTCTGGTTTTCATGCACAAGATTTGAGTTCTTTCCTTTGCTCCCCCACTGTATGGATGTGTCTATGACTAACTTATTGTCTTTGTTATTTATTTATTTATTTATTATTAGTTTTTTGTTTGTTTGTTTTTGTTTTGATTTATCTCATCCTTTGTCTCTCTTGCTAATTTTAAAGGACCTAATACCACAAAGATGTGAACTGAGTAGTCCAGTTGAGTTCGAGTGCTTGGAAAGTGAACAGCAGTCCAAGTCTGAGGAGCACAAGCTCTGACATCGAGGCACTGCCTCTCTCCACCCATCGCAGGCAGCGCTTGGGCATCTGGCTGTGCCAGTGTTTCTAGGTATCAGTGAGATTTTTAAAATGATTTAAGTCTGCACTGCGCAGCTTCGGGCACTTTCCCTCAGTACCTGGACTGAGATACAAGCCCCTCGGAGCCCGGATCCCAGCCACTGGGGAGGGAGGTGCCACCTCCATGCTGATTTTAGCCTAGTTTCCTGCCTAGCTGCTCTGCAGGGGAGTCCATCCATCTTCACTGATGGGTCAGGATGCCCGAGTCGCAATCTGTGTTAGCACTTTAGTTAAGAGCTGAGA